AGAATCACTTCACTTAATTTCGATAATAAAGAATCGACTTGCATGGATCCAATGATATTACAATTCATGATCAGTTTAGATCATGAAATCATTTATTAACACCTCAATTTCATGGTGTTTATTCACGCAACATATATGCAAACAAAACTGACGCGAATTAGCACTTAAATGAGGAAATCGCTTTTAAGGCGGTGAAACAATGTGAAAATCCTAATTTTCTGCATTGTAAAAAGCGACATTAGAGCAGTGGTATATGGTGTGAACAGGAAAAGGCGTTTTTAAAGAATGGTTTTTAATAAGGCATGAATTCGTGCTCGTTTTCTGCTGATTATCAATGACGCTCGTTTACTCATTGAAAGCATCGTCATCAGGTTGCGTATTGACTCGAATGAGGAGAATGAACTTTAAGTTTCGGCTGAGTCTTATCGCTGTTTTTATGCTTGATACGATCAATGGAGCATGGTATGACTCAGAGAGAAACTCAACTGAAACTAACCGATTATAGGCAAACTTTTCGAGAAAACCGCAAAATCGTCCTTGAGGCAGACCTAACTCACAGATGTTTATTCCAAACGTTTCTGGTAGAACTGGTCCAATCGGTAGAGCGGTCACTGAAATTCGAGAATCTCTTAATGCCACCAATATTCCACTTTATGATTTTATTCAAGCAAAAGTTCTGATTAGTTTCTACGGCTTCAAGCAAATTTTTAACTGCAACTCTTACCTTCCACGGTTGACGGTATGGTTATGGGTGGAAGTAAGGGCGAGGGTTCCGGAATGGGCAGAGGGGGTTTTGTTGCGATGGTTAGTATCAATGAGGGGATCGTAGGTGTTGTTGTTGACGGTACAAGTTTTGGTGCACTGGTACCAAGCGGAACTCCATTATTTGCCGCAGTTATGCACTGAAATTGTTCACTTATTGCACAACACGGCCTTATTGCATCTCACAGCATAATATTTTAACGAAAAAATTCAGATTCTAGCCAAGCAGTGAGAAAAAATTGTGATTTTAAGAATGTGTTAATAAATCCGAATGGAAATCTGCAACTGAGCAATTGATGCTTTTGAAACAGTTCATTGAGTTGCATTTCAAGATTACGGCAGGATTTTGTGAATCAGTTGACTCATAAAATTCATAATGCAGTTTCTTCACATTGATCAACGAAGCCTCTTACAGTTTCAGGAATGTTTCTGCATTGGTTAGTAGATTCATCATTGAATTTACCCGACGGTCGCATGCATAACTGACGAGGGAAATCACATTCGACCGGAGTGCATGAACGAGTTGCAACAGACACCCAGTCGCTGTCTGATAGGAAGTCTTCACCTGAAAGGATTATATGCATAAATATTATCACATTGAGGCATAAAAATATCAGAAGAGAACAATCTGGATGTAATGACGTTTTCTCGTGACCACAGATTGATTTGATTCAAGCGGGTGATTGGATGATAAATTGATCTCGGAACGACTCGTTTGAAGTGATTTATGAGACGAGTGACTTATTTGACCGCTGC